AGTTCATTTATGATTTCACCGCATGGGTAGAGAAGTGTGCTGCCAAGCTAGGCTTCACATAATACGATTGCAATAAACTTATTGGCTACTCACACTAAAAATATCTAGTGTGCAACTTCCGTTACGTCTTTTTTCCCAACTTTTAATTTTTCTCCCTCTTATGAAAATCAAATTTTCCCGGATAAATACCGGCCACCATATTTGGCAAATACCAATCTGTGGGCAACTCGTTCGCGCATTTGACGTGTAACGAAGGCTTCGAAATGGCCATCAAGTCATCTGCCGTTCGTGTACAAGAATGCAGGAATTCAGCAATTCAAGCCAACAAATTCCGAGCAGCTCAAAACAAAATACCCTTGCACTGAATTCAGCTATAAAAGCTGTTTCTTGAACGAAATTTTGCAGCCGTGGCAATGATTGATTTGCTCCTCCAAAAACCGCTTACCCTCTGTTTCAGAAAACCAGAAGAGCGTCGGGTGCAGACCATACACCACAAGTGACGACGGCCTCCAAGTAAATCTGGTTAGTAGTGATTCATAGTGATAGCTGATAGTTGGTAAATGATAGTTGTAATTAGTGACAACTGATAGAATACAACTGCAGGCTCATTTCATTGGCAGAAAACATATACATATAAATTTTGTAGGGGCCGTCGTCACTTGTGGTGTGCGGTCCGCACTGGACACTTTGCTAGTTATCTGAAATAGAGCATATATGTATGCAAGTGAAATATCTTTATGAGCACTGTAACATCCGATTGAGTGATCTTTCAGAAAGCACCCGTCACGGTAGAGTCGGCCACTGAACGTTTGCTCACCGTCGATCTCTCAGACGTGATGACCACGTTGAGAAAAATTTTCTCTCAGGTGATCCTTATTTCGACTTTTATAGAAGAGAAACGCCACTATTTTCTGTGGAAATCGTTTTTGAGCAATGTGCCTCCGGGGGGAGGGGCGTCTGTCGGAAGGCCACTAGGACTAAGCCTAACGCAGAGGGACGAATTCCGGAGCGAATGAAAATTGCTTACGCAGCTCGGATTCCCTCTTCTCCTCCAAAGCTTAGTCCCAAAACTGAGCAAATCCGTGAATCTGACGCCAAGTTCCGACTGCCCCCCCCCCCCGGAGCCACATTGCGCCGCCGTTTTTTACCATTTTGCTTCAGCAATATCACTCTGACCACGAGAAACGCCTTCTTGTTCGAATGTACTTTGCTTTGGAAAGATTCCGCTCAACCAAAAACCCCAGAATTGTGGTATGGCTTCCTTGATTATATTTCCCTATTTTGTGTCATTGCTTTCATTCACAAGAATGTAAAGTATTTTCAGTTTCTGGAGAAGCTAAATTTCTTCAAAGAATTGCCGTCATGGAAAATGCAAATATATGAGATAGCCAAATGGATGATGAATTTTCAAGAATTCGCAGAACTTCCACTAGAAGACAAGGTTTTCTTTGCAATACATGGAACACAACAATCAAATAAGCCTAATATATCATCACTAGATGACATTGTTCAAAACTTCATGGACCCTCTGGCAAAAATTCGAGCGTCTGCATATGACAGTGCTGATCTTTGGAGAGCAGGCCGTTAACGAACGGGTAAGACCTGGTGATTTACGGAGTTCTTAATTGGTTGGACTTCGACAACCTTTCACAACTGCATGGTGAAGGGAATATTTTGATTCTTCTTATTGTTAGGACATTTTAAAATTTTCTAATTGAAAGGCATATCGAAATATCGTTGCCTTGTTGTTTCGAAAGTGGATCGCATAGGACAGTCAGGAGACCACTGGTTGGATGATCACACTACCGCTTACATCGCTCGCAGCAGGGTGAATAACGGTCGAGGAAATCTTCAGTTGGTGTGTAGTCGGTGTGTAGCACAAGAACCAGAGCGAGAAGTCCTTTATTGCGAACCGCCAACCACTTTTATACTCTCACTCAAGTCTATCACTTCTCTCTCCTCGATCTCTTCTCATTCCTCTCATTCGCACGTACCACACTCACACCCCCACCTCCCCTTAGGTGACCCGGCGGTCACTCGAGGTATAGGTGTTTTATTTTTATGAAACCTTCATTACGCCTAGATGCGGGCGAGGGGGTTCGACATCGCGTCTACCTCCCTCCCCCAGTCCAGCTAGATTACCCTACTTCTGCCAGCAACCATTGAAACGAACACATTTCATTACCCCTTAAAAAGTTCCCGCCGCCCCGCCGTTTCCGTAGGCCTCACCGCTTCTAGGCCCTTCGGCGGACCCGCTCCTCGATCGTCCGTCCCGGCTTCTTCCGGCCCTTCTTTCTCTCGACGCGGAACGACTCCATTGCCTCCTTGACCGCGAGCGGCTTCTTCGTCTGGTTCATGTTGGGCCCTTCCCATAAACTGACACGTGGATCCGCACCTGCCACGCACTTCGTCACAGAAGCACTTCCGGTCCCGCCTACTGGTCCAATCCGGTCCCACAGATGGGTCTTTCCAAGGGCTGTTTCTCTTGGGGGTTTCATCATTTTCGCTCTGAACTTTGCATATGGTCTTCAATGACCATGCCCAACACCTGTACACAAGGAAAGGATAAGCAGTCTTTCCGTGGAAGATTCCTTTAGCGCGGAGAGCAGGTGGGTACTGCATGGCGAGTGTGAATGTCCGCGCGGGAGAACGTAATTGATCAGACGAAAATCCTCGACGTGTCCGTTGAGGAATCCTCGACCGATATTCACCCTGCTCGCTGCTCTATGCCGGAACCTTCGGGAATTAGGCTCAACTATCTTGGCGCACTTCCCGTCCACCATGAGCATCTGAATTCTTAGGTCGTAACATTCTTCACCTTTTACGACTTCTGGGCTACATATCCCGGAACAATACCACGACTTTTCGCCTTCGGCTTCCGAATATCTCCGCTCATGAGCACATCCGAGTTTTCATTGACTGCGACCGTCTGCAGTGTCGCGGTTCGCGAATGTGGTCCCTGCGCACCACGCGCTTGGACTCCGCCGCGCTCCTTGACCGTAATCGTGCGGCATGCACCCAGCTCTAGGGTCGTGCTCCGCTTCCAGCCGAGCCTACTCAAAGGAGGATTTCCGCAATAAAGCCTGATCAAACTGAATGTGTAAATTTCTATAAGAGTTTTTATATGGGGAGGAGCACGCCAAGGCAGGGACCCGGTTAAAAGATTGTTATTTTATGTGCCGCCATTATTGCAAGGTTGTAGCTGGAGCAAGGGAGCCCTTCGTCCTGAGGCCCATGACGGGCCTTGCCGTCGCGGATCGATGTTTGCTACCCATCTCTCCCAGGCTGTCGGTTGACAGCCGGTAATGCCCCCGAAGCGGAGGTTATGCTTGCGGGAAACAGCATGGTCCCCGGGAAGGACCCGTAGGATGGCGTGTGTCCGGGAAGGACCACGAGGGCTCCGAACCACCTCGATGCGTCGTGTTGGAGGGGTTAGGAGGGCAACTGCTCCTGAATCACGGCAAACTTTCTGACGTTTTCCTAGAGATCACAGTCAAGATTGTTCGCAATGTAGGCATCCCTACTATCTAGCTATCTCATTCCCATTCAAATTCCGAAATCGATCCTACAATGCAATATTTATGTGAAGTATGTTTTCCTAATTAATGTCCTAGAAAAAACTTACCAGTTAGGTGATTGTGACGTGCGAGAACGGCGCCATCAACATGGACACAGTACAACTTGAAATGGAACCGTTCAGTGATCACGATTCGGAAAGCATCAAGAGGTTAGTATAGACGCAATTTTGTAGAGAATAGATTTTTTCCATTCTCATGATTACGGTCAGTTACCTTCTTATGCAGACCGTACGGTAGCGGGCAAATGACCCCATCAGGTACCACGAAGAGCAGCGGGTTCGCTGAGAAGCCCAAGCTGCAGAAGTTTTGAATTCTGTGTAGAAGCTTGAGCGCATCGACGGACCACAGACATCAAACTGTGGGTGCCCGTCTGCATGAGGACCTTTCCTCACTTATGAAACGTTTTCCATTGCTCTCAATTTCTTGACCTTCTGCCTCAACCCGTTCTACCTTGACCAGTTCCCATGTGGTTTTCCACACTTAAAGGCAGCGATTACGATAAAGAGGGAGCGCATCGGGGAAGCATATGCACACGAATCAGTTACTTGGCTGCCAAGGAAGCGAGGTGTGGCGCTTTCACGACGAAAGGTGCGCTGGTTGCTGAGCAGGACTTCGAAAGCACTCCGCCCCAAAAGCGATCCGCCCACTAGTTTAGTTGGTGATTTGGACGAGCTGCGTTGCCAGCAGCGGCACAACTGGAGCAACTCGATTGGAGCGTGGTTTGGCATGGTGCCACCAAACGCGTTGCGGTGAACTCGTTCATACGTCCGCTTTCTGAGCTGTTACCTGTTCATGAGTGAAAACCAACGGCCAAAAAAGGGGTCCCGTTTTGCGTTTTCTTGACGGATTTCTCCGCTTTTTTCGCCACTGGCGTACCATTGAGCACCACCACGTCTCCTCTAAACCCTTCTTGAATCTATCGTAATCGCTGCCTTTAAGTTAGTATAATCGCTGCGTTTAAGCTGAGCATATTACAGTTAAGAACAAAACTCACCCCTGATCAGAAACATCCTGAGGTGTGCCACGCGTTCGACTCCCACGCGGAGTGCAACCACTGCAGTTATTAATAGTGAGATTTTGAGACGTTAAGCTTGCATGGTTCAACGACAAGGAATCTCAGAGGAGCATGTACCGTTTACCGAGAATCGGAATTGAACTAAAATGTGTTCTCCATGGCGCTCAATTTTCAATCGCGAGTCTAGAATTCTAGTACCTCTTTCAGTATGTTCGATTACTTCGGATGCCGTCTAACCGACGAGGTGAGACGACTTCTACTAGAAATGAATTTGGATCGCTTTGAGTTATCCTACATCCTCTGCGCGCTTGTATGGCACGTTGAAGGTTCGGCTTTAGTCATTACTGCAGCATTTCATAGCAAAATCGAAAAATTATAGCCTAATCTATAAAAGAATCCGGGAAGGCTTGTAAGGCAGGAATTTAGCATTAGAAGCTCCGCCTTACGAACCGTTTGAAGAATGTGCGCGTAGCAAGCTTACAATAAACTTCCGCTGCAGAAAGGTAGAATGTATCGGGTAGCGGATAGCGGCTGACTCGGTCGAACACTAAAAGTAAAGTGTTAGGGCTTCAGCCTAGACCGTGAGGTTTTCCGAAGTGAATGTAGGAAAAGCGTGGCGAAGTCATAGTAGACACTTCGTTGTCTGGGCAAATGCCCAAGGTCGCGGAGCGCGACGACTGACGCATCTATAGGCCTCGGACACGGAGACCTTTTTTTCCTGCTGCAACGTGCACTAGGGGTAACCGTCCGTTTTTCTTCAACGAGTGTCGTATTGTGATTTTTGATAAACTACCCTATTTGGGATTCAAGGAGAGGACATTGTGTGGAAGAAATATGGGCAAATGGACGGAAATGAGGAGCATTTGAGTCTGCTGTTTATTAATGAACTCAGAGTGCACGTGAGGCGGGACTCTACGTCACCTACCGACCATAGCGGTCGTATACGAAGGTATACGAGAAGTTTTGAAACGTGCAGGTTGACCCAGAATGCATTGAAGGAAGGATCCACGAGAAGAACGAGGGTCTAAGAGAGAGAAATTCATCTAATGTAGAGAGACAGCGGACCCCTAAAGGTGCGGACCACACACAATTCGCATTGAAGGATATGCCCCGGCGATCTAATGGCCTTCCCTTTGGCGCGGTTGGCGCGGAACGCCCACCGACTATCTAATCACTCGCCGCAGGTCTATACGTGGCGAGTGATTAGATAGCAGAGAGAGCGTAGTGTTGAAGAGGGCACAACGATGAGAGTCGCATCAATGCGCAAATCAACGGGCAAGGAAAAGGGTCCCACTTTCTCGGGTTTGAAGCCGTTTCACATGGTTTTTTCTTCTTTTGTGTATCACTAGCCATCTCTAGCCTTATTTCCTATAAGCTTTCTTTTTATCGCAATCTGCCTCTATGTTTGTGGATCGTAGATTGAATGTTCTTGAAGCTCTTCCACTCTTACACTTTATTGGCAAGCTTTCGGCAATAATGCCATCATCAGACCAATCTTAAAATTACAATACTTGCGACTGATCAACTGTTCTTATACAATAAACACGATACATCGACATACCAGCGATAAGGCAAGGACTAGGGGAGTAAGCAAACCAGCCCTTTTGGCGTTTCGGCTGGGACCGTATGCTGAATGTTGGGGAGGGGATGGGGTCCCCAACGGTCGACGGTTTACTTCAACTCGGTTGGTACGATAGGAGAGTACTGACGCAAGTGGTGCAGCTGGTCCAGCAGCTCCGCCAGAAGGGCTGGTTTGCTCACCCCAGGACTAAGCCTTGGAGAGGGGACGGACCCGTCCTCTCTTTAAGGCTTAGTTCTGAGGTAAGCACCAAATTGTGGCGGTTCTAAGGACCGAGTTGAAGTGGTCCGTCCACCGTCGGGGACTCCATCCCTCCCCAACATTCAGCATACGGTCCCAGCCGAAGCGCCAAAAGGGCTGGTTTGCTTACGTCGTGGATAGGGACGTACACGATGAGGCGAGGAAGAACTGCGAAAAAAGACACAAAGCCCCGATGGCATTATTGCCGAAAGCTTGCCAATAAAGTGTAAGAGTGGAAGAGCTTCAAGAAAATTCAATCTACGATCCAGAATCAAATGAAGCTCAGAGATGGCAGCATTTTCGCATATCTAATGTTTGTGTTCATCCAGTTGGTATATCCCGTTATGGAACCAACGAACGTTTAGGGAAGAATATTCAACCATCAACGCTTCAACGAGCTGAAAGCGTTGTAGAACGAATTTCGGACGAGTTGCATGAACACTACACCAACGATTTGAAAATGCCCAACTATGTGCCAGATTAATAAAAATAATGAAATTATAGCTCGATGGACAAAAATGTAGCTTCTGCTGCCATAAATTCTCAGCCAAACGAATTCATTTGAAAAAATAAAATGAACAATGAGTACCATGACTCATTTCAGAAAGCTCAGCATCATCGAACAAAAGTGATGGAATTGGCAAGAATATTCGATGTTTTTAAATTCGATTTGTCCGAGAAAGGCTTCCTTCTTTGCTAGTCCTGAGAAGTAAATTATTTTAACCTCATATTAGGCCAATAGCCATGCATCACTTTTACATCGACGAGAGGAAGGAGCATCGCAGAAGCGAGACGAGTACCCTTCGCATCAGGCGGCCAGGTGCATGTCCACGGCAGACTTCACCACACAAGCGACGACGGCCTTCACAAAATGTGATAGTTTCTACCAGCGGAAGGATACCAGTTACTGTTGTTGTCAATTACACTAATTACAACTATTACTATCTAATTAAGTGGGTAGGTCAGATCACTAGAGGCCTGTCGAACTTCTGTTTTGGGAGCCTGCAGCTGCCAGACTACCCGAGCTTACTAAGGCGCTAATTTGAGATCACCGTCGCATCAGGACTAATCGTAAGAGGATCACAAGCACACACGACATCGATTTTGCCAGTGCCTTTTACCCTTAAGACAACCATCTTCATTGTCAGCCTAAGTCGAATACTACGCCGTGTTGTGGAATCCTCAGCCATCCCTTCCCAATGACCCCATGTCGCGGTCCCTCTCCTTGTGTTTGGAGCTAATCGTACACAAAAATTTGAGCTATATATGCCACCTCTTTTGACTTGTTGCTCAGGCAACTGTATGCAAGTTTTCAAAAGAAACCACGCAACATTGGATTTTCTAATCGAAAAAAAAAACAGAACACATGATGGAGGGGCTTAAATAGAAAACGTTCTTCTGCTGCAACCTGTTGACCCAACTCTTCCAGCAAATTCTCACGGTCAGCTGTAAATTTTTATAAAAATATGATAAGATATAAAACCCGTGTTCTTATGAAATTTTCAAGTTTTTGGTTGGTTTCTTACTCAGCCCCTTAACGGTTTGAAAATCAGTACCAATTTATTTGAATCAACAGCACAAGAGAAAGATAATGATTCCGTCCAAATGTTTCACTACCTTACGAGACCTTCGAGACCAACTAAGCCATCACAAAATTTATAGGTAGATAGAGTACCGTACCTTCCAGATCAGCGGAATCAGCTCACAGGAACGACAGTATAGCAGTTATCAGACTTTTTATAAAATAGATAACAGAGATAACAGCTATACTGTCGTTCCTGTGAGCTGATTCCGCTGATCTGGAAGGTACGGTACTTTATCTGCCTATTAATTATGTGATGGCTTAGCTGGTCTCGAAGGTCTCGTAGGGTAGGAGACATTTGGTCGGATAAATCGTGAATTGGTTTCCACCTTTTTAGGCTCCGAAGAAGGCGAAATCGCCGAAACGTTAGCCGACGGAATCATTATCAACCTCGTGTGCTGTTGAGTCGATTGAATTGGCACTGCAACTACGCCGAGGTTTATCGAGAGTCGAACATGGCGGTTTAAAAATCAAGAGCTATTCGCACGGAAGTGAAGAAGTATAGAAATTTATTTTAATGTATTTAGAATCAAGGTTTACACCAGAAGCGTGCAAAAACGAATTGGTACATAGCTGGACTTTCGAGTGCCAGTAAGAAGATGGAAAAAAAATCACCAACCACAATAAATTAGACGAGCCATAATAACGAATAACTGCGAAAGAAAGACCTATCTACTATTACCTCATTTCCTAAAAAGACGACGAGCATATTTTAATGGTGAGGCACAATCTTTGAGATCAAATGTCAATATTGTACAAAAAAACAAATATTATCGACTTGAACATATTTTATCAAATAGTAGACAAGTCATCAATTGTTCGGCCATACTTCTTATTAGGTACGAAGGGCTCCCATCGTGATGCCGGATAAATATGCTTGTTT